CCAAAAATTACCAGGGATGGTACACCTGCCATATAAATGAAGTGCCCAGATTCATCTCTCCATTAAAAGTATTCTGTCATAAAAACGGACTTTGAATTGACTTTGAATTTTGTTCTGATGTAGACGTAGAGGTTTTGCTGATGTAGAAGTTCATCTTTGCTCTTTTTCTTTTTTCTTTTTCCTTCCTGATTTCATAAAAGGGCGTTGCTTTATATGAAAGGGCGTGGTGAAACTCATAAGGTAACAAGAGAAAGAGAGACAAGGTAGCACAGATCCACAGTGTTTCTAGCTGTACTAGGCAAAGGCTGGCAATCTGCACTTCCTCCCTTGTAGTAACTATATTTGAAAACAGGAAGTGCTGGAAACAGAGAAAATCAACTTACACTGAACTGTGAATATGGCAACATGGGTAAGTGGATTGAACACTCAGCTAATAAAAGCTTTGAGACTGGACATTTAAAAATGAAAATGCTGATATTGTGCTTTTCTGTCTCTCAGTCAGGGAATGTATAATTGAAAACAACATGATTTGTTATATTGGTATAAAAATAATTCATTTTACAAGTATGTGATGGCTAAACTAGTGATAGTCTGACCACAAAATAGTTCATGTGATTGAGAAACCTACACATCGGATTTAACAGCCCAGTTCGTTGTGATCTTAAAATGATTAAAGAATGTAAGAAAAATAATTCCTTGTCCAGTGTCGAGTACTGGAACTGGAAGTAGTAAAAGCTATTTATAGATGCTCTACTCAATAAGTTTTTGTACTTTCCCACCTCTCAGGGTGAAGATTTGATCTGATAAGCATCATCAGGAGGCTATAGCCTAGCAATTCTTACACTAGGTACACTAAGAATATGATTATCAACACACTTTCGTTTTAACTGTTTTAACACGTTGCATTAAAAGTAGCATAAAATGGGCTTAAGACAAACAGATGTATGTAGTTCCGGCCATAGTATTGTTTGTAACATATCTGCTTAGAGAGTGTACACAGAGTTATCATACTGTCATGATATCTAAAGATTAATAGGTCAATAGAAAAACCAAAAAACAAACAATTTATTAGTAATAATATTAATGTCATTTTTGATACATATTTAATATACAGTTGTATGCAAAAGTTAAATCAAAAGAAGTCAACATGACCTCTACACCAACCTCTGTGGTTAATGCACAGTTACTTTATATTTGATTAACTTAAAGAATAAAATAAAGTAGTAAATGTGTTATGTACAAACGTCTGGACACCCTGCTAAGTCAGTATTTAGTATCACCCCCTTTGGCAAATATCAGAGCTTGCGAATGCTTTTTGTAGCCAGCTAGGAGATTTTCTATTCTTGTTTTACGAATTTTCACCCACGCTTCTTTGAAGAACGCCTCTACTTCTCTGATATTTTGCATGCCGTCTTGCACGCACAGATGTGATATGTTTTGTATCACTGTCCTGTTGTAAATGCCAGACTCTTTTCAGTTTTGTCACTGATTTTTAGTACTCTACTCTTCGATCTGCACTTTTCATGTGCCATTGGCTGCAGCAAACAGTAGGCAAGGTGTTCTTTTCATCAAATGCAGCTCTTTTTTTCCTCCAAACATACCTTTGCTGATTGTGGCCAGAGTTCTATTTTTACTCCATCAGTCCACAGCACTTGTTTCCAAAATGCCTCTGACTTGTCTAGATATTGTTTAATACATTTCAGACATTTGTACAGAGGATGCAGGTAATATTTCCTTCAAATGAACCATCCATGTGGATCAGGTCATGTAAGTAGTGTTGCACAGTAGAATGTAGCACCACTACTTCTGTGTCAGCTAAATCTTCCTGCAGGCCCTTTGCTGTCTTATGGGGGGTTTGCTTTGCCTTTCTGGCCAACATATGACCATCTGAAAGTTTTTCATCTACCAAATCTTGTCTTGACTTCCCATCTCCCCATTTCTTAATGACATTTCAGATGTAAACTTCTAAATTATGTGTAAATTACAAGATGGGATAGTATAGTATTTCTCCTCATTAGGCATTAATTAGCCTCATTTTCAGACCCTTAGCCACCTGCTTAGAGGAGCCCATGGTTAATGAGTGTAAGCACGAGGTTTGAAGAGTCAGAGAGTTTATTACACTCTGGAATTGTCATCAGTTGATAATTCCTAATGACAATTCTTGACCTGCCTAATCAGTCCTAATGAGTCAGTTAAGGCCTAATAAGATTATTTATTCATGAGACTTTACAACTAGAAGGGTGTCTAAACTACATATATAGTAACTGTACCTTAACATTAGCAGAAAAAAGTAGTTTTCTGCTAAGGGTGTGTTTACTACTTTTCACTTTGAAAAAATCAACAAAATATGTAATTTTGTCAGTGGTGCTCAAATGTTTGCATAAAACTGATTCATTTTCGCTGCACAGTGCTTTGTTTTTCCTTCCACTGGCTGTAACTAAAATTAATGGAACTGAAACTAACATTATGAACATATAACATGTACACATAATAACATGTCACAAATGATCATAGTGCAGTAAATACATATTGAAAACAGCTTAACTTGTTACATACAAACAGAGCAGGCTAGGGCTTCTTTTTTTATTGCATTGACTGCATGTTAAAACTTTTAGTGGTGAACTGCATCTACACCATTGAAGGTTATCACTGTAGTTTCAACAAAAGAGGAAAAAAAAACATGACAGCAATCAATTAATGTTTAGGATTAAATCTACATCATTTTAGGCTTACGTTCATGTATGATTTTCAATTTTTTAATCGAGTTCTTGAACAATTACCACTGCAAGCACCAACTTCACTATTAATCCATGTTTTGATCTTTGTTTTATCAGGGTAACAGAGAGACAGTTTTTGAAAGAGAGTTTGTACACTTGGAAGATCTAAAAAGAAGAGTTGATGGAAATCGGTACCTAGTTAAACAGGTTTCTGAAGCCAACAGTGCAGCCTGTTATGCTGTTCCTCATTATCCAAGACCTGTAGAGTGTCTGAAGTGGCCCATGTCACTACAATATCCAAGATTGATGAAATCCTGGAATCTTCTGGATGGAAAGTCAAAGAGCCCAGTGAAGAAGAAAGAACTTTCTTGTGGTGGGGTCTTCATATTGGTGATGAAGAAATAAAGGAGGCAGAGACTCGCTATGTGAGCAAAACCTACCCTAATCTCAGAGTGCGTGACAATGTTCTTAAAAACTTCACAAAATCTCCTGTTTTCTTGCCAACATCTCGATATGGGAATTTCAAGTTCACACTCCGCCTGGCTGAGCTGATGCAAATGTACAGGGATCAGATCTGTGGAGGAGCGGAGCCAGTTCTCAGGATCTTCAAGACAGTTCTTTATCGACAGGAGATCATGTACACCGTGCTTATCCACAGCCCAGAGCTCCAAGAGTACGATGATTACCCAGTTCTGACTAACGGCCCTGATGACCTGTGTACATACAGTGATGGTGTGATTACCTGGAGAGCACAAGCAATTTCAGAAACACACAAATGCCAACTAGTGATAGATGATAATGAGGTTTACACAGAAAGAACACACGTGGAATTTTATGTGTGGGATCATGTGACACTGGCATTTCATCTGGAGAGAAATCAAACCCTGTATGTTGAACAGAACAGGCTGAGAGAAATGATGACTGCATGTGAGGCGGGGAATATACAACTCAAACCACCCGATGAATGGGTGTCTTTAGAAGCAGCTGAAGAAAAAATAAAGGAACTCAGAGCTAAATATGCTGAGGAGAAAATAACGCTAAACAAAGCACAGTTAGCAGAGCAGCATTAAACATATACAGTGTAAGATTTGCTCTCACCTGATGAGCAGTTCAGATACCAGAACCATGTGAGGTTTGAGATATTAAGGAATTAAAATTCTGAATTAATTCTGAATTTTAAAAATGTTTGTCATGGTGCACTTTCTGCAGTGGAAAGAAAAAAAAGCTGAGAAAATGCATTGTTTTGTAATCATGCTCTGGTGTGTAGTCATCTATGGTGATTTATTTTGATATTAGCATCATCAACCTCAAACATGAGCCTCAAATTAGCTCCCATAAAACAAATAGTGTTATGCATCTACTGTTCCATGTTACATATATGGACAAATGCAGATGTAAGCACACCCATGTAGCTCTAACACAATGCAATTTAGCTGTCTGTATCCTCTCATTTGTTTTTACAGCTTGAATCTAGTCCACTAAACACAAAGGAGTAATAAAACTAATTTATATAAATATTCCAAGCAAACAACACAGTATGAGTATCAATATGACTCCTCAGCCATCATTCCTGTATCCAGTGTAAATGCAGGTTAGAGGAAATGTTCTTCTCTCACTGGTCAAATAAGATACAAAGGAATAACTGGTCAGACTGTCTTTGTGATCAGAGCAGGACACATACAAGCACTTATTGTTAGGACCAAAACAAGCATCTACCATCTGTAGCTCCTTGTCTCCAGTTTGGTAGCCTGCCTGAGAGAGAGTGGCAAAGCACTTCATCATTGCCCATCAGTTTCCCTGTGAGGTGATTAATTTTTCATGTGTGGTTTATTTATTTGAAAAACCTGTTTCATGTTTCAAACATTTTAGAGGCTCTGATCTGCTTTCTAAAAGCAGATAGTTGTGTTTGCTGGAGTTACACTGCTTGAGATGATGTTCTATATAAAACTCTTGTTTTTATGAAATCTATAATGTGCTGGCAGCATTGGGCACACTGTAATAGACTGCAGTTATTAAGGGTATTATTTATAATTATTTTATGTGCCTTGTGATATGACTAATCAATATGGATATTAAACGCACAATAATAGCCACCAGTGTGTTCTCTGTGTGGTTCACTCACATTCTGACATCAGTTACTGAGTAACTCACAAATAACTATCAAATATTGAGATAACAAAGTCAAACATTTACCTACAGGCAAATAGTTACAGGCCTTACGACAAATATTACAAGACAAACATAACTGGCCATTTGACACACATTACAAGACAGACATAACTCTATTATTTCATTGTTATTGCTTTATTTAAAAATGTAGGATTTGCAAAAGCATGAAATTGCCGGTTTACAGAAACAATTAAGTTTACAAAACTGTTCCTTTACACAGCAAATTTCTTACAAGCGTCCAGATGCTGAGAGAAGAGGGCAGAGCTTTCCCGCGCTGTGCTGAGCTGTTTCTCACACCAGCGAATCAGAAAATCTTGCAGAAGACTCACACGGTCTCTGTGGTACTGCTCAATCTGACAGTACGAGAGTGCAATGTGACAGTATAAGAACAATAAACTGTAACGGCTGAAAATAATTTGATAATTGAGAATTTTAATGGTGGAACACGACTGACATTGCAAGAATAGGCTTAATCCAGGTAACCTGCCCTTTGTGTACTACATGGTTAAATCTCTTGAAGCAACTTGAAGCTAAAACCCTTGCTTAAAAGTTTTATTACACATGCACAAGGAACAAAAAGCACTTTGAGCACACCTCACTGAATCTCGCACATTTCATCAAACGAGTGGAATTCACTCATTTACTCATTAAAACTTCTGTTTAATAAATATGTTCTAGATTATCTTGGCAATAAACCAAAGAAGAGTCATTAAGGCAAAACAGACTATTCTTTACCTCTTGTTTTGCCACAGATGAGATGATGTTAAACTCCTTCTGTGTAGCTTTCTGGACTCCCTCCATCTGCAATAGTTACAGTGCTCAATATTAGTGTGAGCATGTACAGTCATAATGGTTTGGGTGCCGCTGGTCAAATGACATGTTTTGTTGATTTTCTGAGTGAAAATAATCATCATCTACATCCTTAACACAATTACTGTTTATTTGCTGAATTTAACATATTGGGAAAAAATAAAACATAACATGTGGCATGTGCAAAAGTAATTCAAATGTGTTAAACCCAAAAAATAAACAGAGTTTGTGCACCACAATTTGCATAAAAATGTCAAATACAAGTTTATGTCCTGTAGAGCATTTGTTACAATCTCCGGTCCTCATGGGCCAAAACACTGCAGACTTCAGCAACAGCCTCATTAAACACACCTGATTCAGCTCTTTAGCTAATTAGCAAGACATTTATGAACTGAATTCAGAGTGTTAGATGAGGGTAAACGCTAATCTCCGCAGCACTTTCACCCAGAAGGTCCTCAGTTTGACACACCTGCTGTAGTGGATGTTATTTTACTTAGAAAATCAACAAAACAATGTAATTTCATCATTGTCATTAACAGCTGGCATTGTTCAAGCTTTTTAATACAACTGTATATGGTGTCTGTAAATCACTCACAATTGCTTTCTTATTTTGCTTTGCTTTTTCTGAGTTCCTATTGGCAGCTTCCAGCTCCACTAGTTTGCAGGTTCTTCTGAACAGCATCTCCTACAAGAACACAGAACAAAACAGACCATAGCTCCAACCAGCACAACCTATAAACGTCCAGTCTGAACAACATCCCCATATTTCATAAGCTAGAACTCCAAAGAGTGTTATTTAGGTGAGTGTTAAACTAGTAAGTACTGAGTTTGTTAATTTATGTGATTAATGTCTGTGTCAGAACACACCCTCTTAGCTTCTTGGTAGCGTGACTCCAGATCCAGACCCAGACCCAAAGTAGAGATGTCATTATCAGACACTTTTTCATAGTTTATCTGAAAAGAAAAGCAACCAACCAAACCCAAATCCTATTCAGACTGCTGCAATAAAACAATATGCTAAAATCATGCAAGTCTTACTTACTTTCACTGCTTCAATAATATCAGAGAGCTTCAGACAAATCCTAACAAAAACAAGTGTGAAAATCAGTTTATCATTCATATCTGAAATGTAAATGTAACATTTACACTCTTATAATTTGTTCATTAGACACTTTCATTCACTCTCAGCACATACACTTACTTGGAGAAGGCCACAGCACTCGGATTGTCCTGGTTTACACAAAGATGTAATGAAGTGGAGAAATGCCCACAGGCCAAAGCAAGTCCTGAAACACACAAAGGCACACAAACATTTTGTCTTGTGCGCTTTTCCTCTGAATGTACGCATGCATGCTGTGTTACAGAAACTGAGTCTTACTTTGCTTGGTCAGCACAACGTCAAGGAAATTCTGTTGGAAATGACACGGCAGTTAAAAAAAGAAGTTCTGAGTAAGTCACAAGAATGACAGTGACTAAGGAGTGAGTGAGAAAGACTAAAACAAGGCTGAAAACAAGAACAGGGTTAGGAATAAGGCCATACCTCTGTGGATGCTTTAAACAGAACTGAAAGGTTTGTGCTGCTGTCTCTCTCGCTCTGAAAGAACTCATCCACATCCTGAGGAAATAGATTTGATATTAAGGTACTGTGTGCCTTAACATTTGCTCTTTCTTTCTCTCTTGCTCTCTCTTTCTCATACACTCACAGACCTTATGACCCTCCTTCCTCATCTCCTCCATGGCCTGACTGAGGCGGTTAAAGATGCCCTTTTTGCCACGTTGTTTTCCAGGTGACTAGGAGACAACAGAAAGAAGAAATGCCAAGAGCAAGAAACAAGAATTAGTCATGACGTTCAGAGGTAGCATATGATTGCACCAGTATGATCACCCTTAATAAAGATACTTAAAGATTTGTGGTTAATTTAGCTGTCTCACACTGAAAATATGAGAAACGTAACCTTTAACTGAAGAACATTAGAAAACACATAATTAAATGAGACAGAACTGTGTTCATAAATCAGGCAATGACAATAAACAATGACAACATGTCTAAAAATGCCCTTATGAAAACAACAAGAGCTGTAGTGAACCTGCCTGGAAGAGGATGCAAGTGCATTTTAGGCCTATGCACAGTGAGCAGGATGGTTAGAGAGACAAACATTGCTCCAAGGATTATAATTAAAGATTTGCAGAAGATGGTAGCATTTTGGGGTCACCAAGCCTCAAAACTACAATTAGACACACATCCGTACCAATTCAGAAGAAAGCTATTTCTTTCATATAACCACATAAATGCCTGGGGTTTGATAGGTGCTACTGGAAGTAACTGCAACCAGGTTCTAAAATCAGAAGAGACCAATTATAATTTTTGGCAACAAGAATTCTGGCTGGGATTGGTGTAAAATGAAGGAAGGTTAAACAGGAAAGGACCTCATCCCCACTGTTAAGCAGGGTGGAGGATCTTGGATTTTCCTCCAAATGCCCTGGGAATCTTGTTAGGATCCATGACATCATGGACTCCATGAAGTACAAGTCAACAAAGGTTGCCAAAAAGCCAAAACTGGGGCATGGTTAGGTCTTTCAGCATGATAATAACCCAAAACATATGCCCAAATCAGCACAAAAAGGTGCAAAGATAACAGAATCAATCAAGCTTTATATATATAAATCCGAGTCCCCTGACTTCAATCCCATTGAAAACTTGTGGAGTGAGCTTAAGACAAGAATCCAAAGGAGAAGAATCTAAAAGAAAGAACCCTGGAGGATCTGGAGAGATTCTGTATTAAGGAGCGGTCTTAGATTCAGAAATCTCAGTATTCTCATATGTCATCGAGCATTACATAAGAAGATACATAGCTGTTATGTTAATAAAGGTAGGTGGCACTGAGAAGCGAATGCAGTGGTGACAATAATTGTGACATATGCTTTTGTTAAAAATGATTTTTTAAAAAGAGTTTTTGTTTTCTTAGACTAAATTTATTTCAGTGAAATGTTCTCTTATATGTTCAGTGTGAGACTTTATTACCCATGAAGACATTTTTAAACCAGCTTTACCAAGGGTGCCAATAATTTAGGAGCAGAAAGTCCACATCCTGGTATTCAAAAACAAATATGTGTGTGTTTGTGTGCGTGTGTGAGTGAGCAAGTGAGAGAGAGAGAGAGAGAGAGAGAGAGAGAGAGAGAGAGACCTCAGAGCTGTTGAGGAAGCTGTAGAGTGCTTTGCTCTTGTTGAGAGTGGTGTTTGCTGCCACCTGGTGGAGATAAAGCTCTAAAGCCTTACAGTAAATCATCCATTCATCTCCGAGAGCCAGGAAACCTACACACCCACACACACACACACACAATTCATATACAAGTGTATAATACCAACACAGTGTTAGCTACTATGTCAAACACACATTAGTAATCCAGTTACTGCAGTATTTTTTTTCTTCAGTTGAAGTGAATCAGACATACCGAGCTGCTTCAGCGCTTTGGCCTGTGAAAGTGAGGTGGAGGGCAGTGGCTTGCCGGGCAGAGGAGGAAACTATGAGTAGAAGATAAAGTTACGCAACGTTTAGTACTGCAAGAACTTGTGCTAACAACAAAAAATGATTTTGCAGACCCAGCAGATTTTGAGGAACTTCACAATGAATGTTGTGAACATTCATTCTTAGGGGAATAAATCTCTAACCCCAGACTAAATCACATTTATTTATGAAACAACTCCTAATCACCATTCACAATAACTTTGAATACAGTGAGTACGTTTTGTTTCTTTATTAATGGTCATTAACACAGTAGTAGAACATAGACAACAAAAACATCCCACTAAGACTGAAAATAGCCTGAGAATTTAAGACTTTGGCCAAAAAATGGCACATTATTTATTGACTATTAAAATAGTGGTGGGTAGATTAAAAGCTTTTACATTAACATTGCAATTTGAAAGAGAGCAATTTTCAAATTGCTGAGTGTCAAATAGTTATATTATAGCCTTCATTTTCAACAATGCTGTTTCAACAAGTTCTAAGAGGGAAAATTTAACATAATATCACAGAGCTTGTGAACTGCCTGTAGATGATTTGGACCAATCAGAGGCTACCAAAGTCACAGGTGCTGCACTATGTTCAATGTTCAAGCCGTAAGCCAGAAAAGGGCATATACTGGTCTTCTTGGCCAAAAAAAGACCTGGACCTTAATTTGTAGAAAATAACTGCAGTTTAAATCGCAGTCACAATTGCTCAGAAAAAATGCAATTAGAAATTTTGTCCAAATTGTTCATCACTATACAGCTGATTATAATTGATACCAAACATTCCAAAAATGGATGCAGTTGAATTGCTGCCTTCAAACAGACCTATCGCAACACATAAATCAGGGCTGTGTATAAGAACCTGGCAATACGATGCATATGATACTTCTGATTTAATATATTGTGGGATATTGCGATACTGTAAGCAATGCAATATATATTGCAATTTTTTTTTACATCTAATTTTAGGAAAACTGTCACAGTATAAAAAGGGCACCACCATATGCATTACATCTGAGTAAAAGAAAAAGTCTAATGGCTGTTCAAAGATTACAACACACTGCTATCTAACGGTTGGGGGTTTAAACACAACACAAAATTAAGCATTGTCTGCCAGGAATCTTTGCATGTAAACTATTAATTAACAAATACTGTGTATTTGAGAATTAATACAGTATTGCAAAACCTAATATTGTGTTACTCAAATATTCATATTTTCCTACACCCCTATAATTTATTTTTATTTATTTAACATAAATGCATTTGTATGTGCCCTATTAATTCTACACATGCTTTAGGGAAGCCAGTCAGAAAAGGATAGAGGACACTCACTATGACTCCCTGGAGTCCTGGAACATCCTCCTGAGAGAAAAGACTCTGCTGAAGCCACTCAAAATCCTCATATGTCCTAAAAACGCACACTCCAGCACTGCTGCTCGACTGAGAGAAAGAAAGAAGGAGGAACTCACTTAACAATGTGCTTTTAAGCACATACACAATACAGTGCAAGGCTGCTCTCTCACCTTCTGAGATGTGATGGCAAAAGTTAGTGTATCTCCATCCTGTGTGACATCAGTGATCTTGATACTGCTAACATTCACACTTGGTGCTGAATCGTCATTCGATCCCTTCATAAACACCCACAAAAAATAACTCACAGAAAGATACTAAATGTACTTTTATTCACACCAGCAGTTTGGAAAAAGGGCAATATGTATAAATATTTCAATTTCAAGTTGACAAACTGAGATACTATACTATCTGGGATACTTTTATAGCAATTCATGTTTATACTGACTGTATTACAAAAACCAAAACTGACATAAATACATAACTCATAACAAAACAAAATTCCACCATCTCAGATGTTTCAAGAGTTTCTTTCCTTTATCATGACTTTCACATTCTGCTCTACACCCAGCAGGTGAGTTCACGTAATGATCATGTGATTATCACAAGCAAGAAGCATTCACTCACCATTATCTTCTATTCAATTCAGCCACAGTGGATCTGTGGAGGTGGATTTCTGACTGAATGACAAAAAAACTCAATCAGAAAACAAAAGTACACATGAAACACTCAGGAACTCCCTCAGTATACTAACCGAACAGTGCCTTCCCTTGTATCTCCTCATGCAATCTCTTATTGCTCTCTTTCTGTCTGCAGCAGGCACACACACTCACAAAATGCCCACACGCACACAACTGTGGAAAGCAGGATATCCTGTGAGTCAAAGTTCACAGCAGTCCCGTGATGTGCTTGTGTGAGGTTTGAGTTTGTCCCATCCCATCTGTCCCAGTATTTGTTAATATATGTTATTATAACCTGTGTGAGTGTGTGTGTGAGAGAGAGGGCCAGCCACCCCCACCCCACCACCCCACCCCATTCACCCAAAAATTACAAAGTGCTGTAGAAAAAAAGAGCAGAAGGAGCCAGGGGCGTCGCCTGGCCTGTGCTTTCAGGGCTGAAGCCCTGAATATTTTAACAAGCCCTGACCCTTTCAGCCAAGGTGAGAAATACAGTGGATCCCGTCTAATCTCTTGGACCCCCTAAATGACACAAAATTCTGAGGGGGCGCTGAAAATAAACTTATTGTGAAGATATGCTGTTTGTCAGGGTTAAACAGACACCCAAATATAAATCCAGAGAAAGGTCATTATTTATCCTACATCACAATTGATGAGCTTCTGTCTTCAATATTCTTAACTAACTATGCAGCACTGGTCTGCCTCAGGGTGGCGCTGTAGCAAATCAATTCACCCTGCTGGTTCTTCATAGCCTTGCAACTGTAGCTGTGCCCAGGACACCTCTTAAGAACCTAAAAATATGCCATAGCATATTTGTAAATTTGAAAACTTTTCCAATTTTACAAGAGACTGGCAGTAAGAGTGAATTGTTACTCATTTCAAAAAACAAAGGCACTAGAGGAGATGTGGAAGATCTTGTGTGGAAGAGCGAATTGTTAAAAGTAAACATGTTGGTGCCACTGAAGGTAGCAGCAGCGCTGCTACGGCAGGTAAGTTAGCAATTAGTTGATGCTGGAGTATCCAAGCAACATAGGACCCCAATAGTGAGGAGTTATTTCACGCACAAAGTAGATATAACTTTGGCATTTATATAGATAGATAGATGAAAAGATAAAAAAGTAAGAGACTGCGTCCACAACAGAGCGAGCCAACAAACAAGCACGCCACGATCGAGAGAAAGAGAGCAGTAGAGTCTGCTAGAGAGACTGTGAGGGACAAAATGCGTGCCTGAAATCTTTGTTAAAAAAGGTAAATCTATTCCACTAGTAAAAAATAATCATTTTGTTTTATAAATGACTAATAAATTTATATCAGAATGATTGAAAATGAGTAGTTCTGCTTTCCATTTGAATGTGGAAATTGATGAAGGATCTGACTGCAGAGCAGCAGATTTACACCCGCAGTTTCACTCCAGCAGTTTCAGGCCAGTGTAACGCATGCGCAGTAGGACAGCGCGATTGTGCCATGTAAATAAAGTCCTTATAGGAAAGTTGAGCGTTTCTATTCGTATTTCAACCACAGGCCGGCTGAACGCCTCTGATGTAAACAGCGACTGTTTGTGCTGGTTGTATGTGTCGCCATACCTATTACCATTCAGAGGGATATCATTGCTAATATACAAATCAACCATTGGTAACTGGTTAAACCATAAGCCAAAACACATTACAAAACCATCAGAAACCAAAAGAAACACTTAATGGGTTCTATGTTTTTTCAACAGGGATACGTTAAACTAAAGTTTGTTTTAAACTAAAGTTTGTTTTAAACTAAAGCTTAATATTATGCTCAGGTTAAGCCTGCTTGAGGTAAAGTTTTATTCCTGCATATGTAATGTAAGTGTACACATAAAGCACCCATATTAGTATTATGTACCCAGGCTATATAAGCTGTATTTTGTTTAATATTTATCCGTACATGTACCATAAATTTATTGGAAACCCACATAAAACAGCTGAAATGTTGATTAGCCTAACACTCACAAAGAAAAACCAAAACAAGCGTTGGCACATGCGCTGAATGCCTCTGGCTTGAACCTGCTAAAGTGTAACCGCTGGCGTGAAACTAAGGCTCTGCGGCTCTGCAGAGCCACATTATTGGGGAGGGGATGGAAAATTGAAGGAATTGGACCCCGTACCAGTGCATAGGTTAAAATGTCTGCTTTGAGTAGGAGCTCAATTATATGTGTTACAAGATTAGTGTTTCTGATGTCGGCTAAACATTTTATTTTCTCTTAACCCTGTTTGGCTCACTCACTCGCTCACTCACTCACTATCATTATTTTCAGTTCAAGAGTGCTTTATTGGCATGAATGTAATAAAATACACTATTGCCAAAGACGTTAACAAGAAACACATGAACACAAATAAGAGAAAGATAATATTATAGTTACAATAGAACACTAGAAAGTAAGTTATTTACAGGGTTATTAGTGATCAACCAAAGAAAATGAAAATAAATAATAAATAATGTAATAAACAGTAATAATCAATCATTTTTCGTTGACTGTCCTCACTGGTTGTGACAGGCTGTCACATATCTCACTGCATGTATGATCAGCCCACTCTTCTCTCCTAATATGAGCAGCAGTTTCTCAGTGTTCCTGCAGAGCTAAAACTCAGGACAGATGCTGCTCACTTTGTTATAGAATAGATTTTTAATGGAGTCATATTTACAGCACTCTGTTAGGAAGTGCAGCTCTGTTTCCACCTCTGAGAGCTCAGAGTGAGAGCACAGTCTGGCCTCTCTGGGTAACCAGCTCTGTCTGCGCCGGCCAGTTTCTGTGATCACTGAGTCTGTACATCGTCAACATTTCCCTTATTTTTTTCTCTTTAATGGTTGCCAGGTAAGTGATCTCAATTTAGGGCCAAATAGCAATGAAGTTTGTGTTGATGCTGTGTAGTTTCAGTCCAGTGGATGATGTAGTTGTGTATTTGGTTGGGTCTGATTCTCTGAGTGAGCGTGTGGTGAAGCTGATTAGTGTGGGGGGTGTCATTGGGCTTCAGGTCACTGAGACTCAGGATCAGCTGGCTTAGGGGACTCCTTTCAATGTTCAGCCACTGACTGGCCAGTGCTTTATACTGGAGTGATTGGGGATCACTGGATTTTATGTTTCCAGAGGTTTTTTTTGAATATTTAATAGAAGTGGATGTTGTCCTAATTCAGCTCTGCAGGCATTATTCAGTGTTTTTCTCTGCACATAGAGGATGTTTTGGCAGAATTCTGTGTGTAGAGCTTCAAATGGATGTTTGTCCCAGTTTGTAAAATCGTTTTGTGTCAGGGTCCCACACCTCACTGCTGTATAGTGCTTTTGGTTCAGTTACTGATTTGAGTATTTTAAGCCAAACTGTAATTGGTATTTCTAATTTGATTGATCTCTTTCACTCACTCAATCACTATCACTCACGCACTCACTCACTCTCTTTCACTAAATGCATATATGAATTATTTGAAGTGTTGTTAATTTTTCAATATTGGTCATTAACAGTACCTTAATGTGAACAAAATACTCTTTTAATCAAATTTTTGAATGTTGCATATTTTAATTACTGATGTTTTTGTTCACACTTTGAATGGTCTCTATTTGTTTAATTTAATACAATCATATATTTGCACTTTTCCTCGCATGCTGTTATACTAATAAAGTCTAATCTTGATATATATTTTGATATATATATATATATAGGATTTTGTATCATACAGTCATGCCTACATTTATCTCTGAATTACCAAAAGTGTCTAATGTTAGACGGACACTAAAACCAACAGATCATATAGAGACAGTTTGTCCGAACCACGCTGTCACAGTGAACCACCCCACCACAGTGAACCACCCCGTCACAGTGAACCACCCCACCACAGTGAACCACCCCGTCACAGTGAACCACCCCATCACAGTGACCCACCCCGTCACAGTGAACCACCCCGTCACAGTGAACCACCCCATCACAGTGAACCACCCTGTCACAGTGAACCACCCCATCACAGTGAAAGACCTCGTCACAGTGAACCACTGTGAACATGGACAGGTGGGAAAACATTTAATTTTTAAAATTTATTTCATATATTATTCCTCAAATGGTGTACATATTGTCTGTGACAGGGTGGTACAAAAATGGCTCCCTTTCAGAATAAAAACGATAATAGTGATAAAGATTTTATATCAGAAGTAGGAAAATATGATTTTTAGAGGATCAACATCTATTTCATGTTGTGTGTTTAAAAAGTTTGCTCTAATTTGAAAATTGCAGAGTGTAAATGGCACTGTTTCAACTGAGGGAGGCGGTGCTTTTTTAGAATATTGCCGATGGTCAATTGTCATAACGGTCAATTGTCATAACAATGATGTCATAACTGCGAATATATATATTCCACATTCCAGGATATTTCATTCACATTTCATCACAGGATGGAGGAGACACAGGTGAGCTCATTAAACAGTGTGTTATTTATTTAAGTTTTTTAATTTATTAAAATTCATTACTTTTTTTAATGTATTATTTCAAAGAAAGAAAAAAGTGTGTTTACAGATAACTTGTTTTCTATTTTGGGAAGAATAACTGCAGAATAATACAAACTACAATTCAAAATTGCGGTTTAAAAGTTTGGAGTCAGATGTTTCTCAGTACCAAGAACGCAAATAACAGATGTTCCTTTTTGGGAAGAACACTCGACAATTTAACTTGAAAAAAATAACCAGCAAGAACAGGAGAACAGAAAACGCGTGTGTAAGAGTTTAAGATGCTGCGCTGTGCATTTGATATTGCGCAACACTCCGAGTCCAGATGATTTCACCATCGATGAGCAACATTTAGTAGCGTAAAAGTTCAGAATACATGGAATCCTGTACAATATAAACGACTAAATAGTCTAGTATGACAGCTTATTTATTATTAATGTAGCCAAAGCTCGTCATTTCTCCGATACGGTGGTCATTTTATTTGAACGTTGACCAGCTAAATACTGTGATGAAGGGTCTGATTTAGGAGAGCATTCATACAACTGACAAAACTGAGGAAAAGTGAAATGGAGCTGGAAAAGGAGCTAAGGCCAAAATAATAGATAATATGTCCTAAAATAGCCCTTTAATTGGTCCTAATCATAAACAGTCATTTTCCTTTCAGTTTTAAGATGTTTAACATGTTGTTAAAAAGAAAAAACAAACAGTAAACACACAAGGACACCAGAATAACAGAAATCAATATAATTATAGT